TAATATTTCATCTAGTTTGGTTTGTTACGTGACTTGCTCCATTGCGTTAATGTCTTTATAAAAAGAATGGATGAACGAAATAATGGGAAGCTCTATGTAGACATTTAATTTTTGAACCTCCTACGTCTAATATCGCTATTTAACTAATTTTGACTCTTTTGCTTTATTTTATTACAAAATAAAAACTACAAAAATATTTTCTCTTATTTTAGCTAATTGATATTTTACTAGTTACTTTTAATTTATCTTACTTTTCATAAAATTAAAAAATACAAAAAAAAAATAGTATTGATATTTTATATTTACTTACTTTAGTTTTAAAGTTATAGATTTTAGTATATATTCAATAGTATTTAAATTTTATTAATATAGTAACTTTATGGCTCCTCTTGATATTTTCCATTATAGATAAATTAGTATTTTATGAAATTTTTATTTTATTTCATTTTATTATCCAACTTTAGAAGAAAGGAAAAATGAATGAAAAAAAAGAAAGAAGCAAAGAACGTGAAAAGCAAGAAGGAAAAAATCGAAGAAGAAAGAAAAGAAGGTGGAAAGAGAATCAGATTATTGTAGTTGTAAATCTCCTACGTGGCCCCCTATATTTTATCCTTTCGTTAATTCTCTTATTCTTCTAAATTAGTATTAGTACTCGCACGATGCGCGATTAATATTAAAAGGACGTAATTGTAGTATATTGGTATTTATATATATAGATTATGATATCACATGAAAAATCATGTTTTAATATATAAATTATATTTTTTTGTTGGGGAGATTTATTTGAAATACTCAATTAATATCATATATAATTCTCCAGGAAGAGTCATCTCATGGGAAAGTCAGCTTGAAATATAGATTTACCTCGTTGTTTAGCTTATATTCGCTTCTAACTAACTAAAAAGATGAAACTAAAAGCTATAAAAGCTTTATCGATAATTTCTTAAACTCTCAAACATCTAATTTTTAGATGAACATGAAGTTAAGATATTTCCCTCTTTCTGGAAAGCTATCTCGCCTATCCTTAGTTTCTCTTGAACACATGAATTAGCACTTAGGTAGCAACTCCATTGAGAAGTGTTTAGCAGCGCAACTGGGACAACCTATCCTTTCATAATTGCATATGTAAATTAGCTATGTCTATTAAAGCTTAGATATATAAATGGAGTCAAGGAATGGTACACCGTAATTTTTTTTAATCTAAGAAGTTCAGATCTTTCAGTGGAATTCTCAAACTCGAAAGGCACCATGTATCCATCTCCCTTATCTGTACGAATTCATATTCTTCACATCAGTTCAAATCCCTGAAAGTAACAAAAACATGGAGAGAGAGAAAAAAAAAGGTGTATGCGAGAAAACATGAAATTTGCAACGCAATGAACAATTTTCTAAAAAGAATCACTTATTACTTTATCTTAGCAGAGGTGGTAGAGAATTATATCTGAAAAATTATATTATTATTTTTCAACATGCAGTTCCTCTTCATTTTCTTCTCTAGATAAGATCGACGCTGGCAACAACATTATACATATGTAAGATAGTTGCAAGCTCTCTTTATGAAAGTGATTATCTTTAAGGTTTCAACGGATTCAGAAATTATTTTTTAGCAAGATAAACGGAAACACATTCAACATGTGTTCTTCCATTTTTTCAATTCTTTCTCTTTCATCCTTTCTAAATTGATGAAAACAGTAGAAAGTTTGTAAAGTGTATATAAAGATATATCTTCCAATTTACCATCCAAAATACAAAAAGATAGGAAGGCTAAAAGATATATAGAAAACTCAAATATTTAAGTAAGGAAGATCGTATATAACAACAGAAATTCACGTGAAAAAGAAATGCGCGTGCTTGTTTCTTATGTCACTATCTTATTTTCTGCAATTAATGAAAGGCTAAAAAGATTAAGTTTCGTAATCAGTCAATAGAAAAAAAAAATGCAGCCAGCTCTTTGATAAATATTTCAATCAAATGAGGTATGAAGTATACTACTTGTTTGTTCACTTTGTTTTCCCATTAAAAATTGACATTAGTATCTACAGTATCATACACGAAAGTAGGCAAATGTATGACTATGACGTAACCTTTAGTACTACATGGTTTCACTCTAAGTCCTCCTTTTTTTTATCCCTCCCTTTTTCTCCAAATTTGCAGGCATCGCGGAAAAAAATTATATTTAATTCATTGCTGAACTTTGTACATAAGCAATCAACAGGAAAAAAAAGTCATAATTAAAGTTTCGAATTCAGTTATATTTTACCAATTTTGCAATCTACTATTAGTCAAAATTCCCGAAAGCCAGATTTGTATTAGCCACAAGTAACAACAACACCTCAATCCCAACTAAACCAAACGTAGTGCATTAAAAATAATTAGGAAACTTCTGGAAAAAAAATTAAAACAACAAAATTACTCCACAATTAATGGTTAACTTTCTTTGTCCTCAAACTATAAGCTGAAATCAAGTAGAATAAAGAAAAATTGTGCATTCTTCTGTGAGGTTCAAATCGCAACATTTTGATTTACCTTTGCGAGTAAATAGAGTTTGATCCATTCTAAGTTTTAACCCTTGCATTTTAACATAGTCAGTTTAAGACCTTGGAATTTTAAAAAAATATAAGCAATTCAGATTTCACGAATATTGTCTGCCTTGGAACAGAGAGAACAATTCAGTCTATTCAGTTTATTTGAAGTTGTATTTGAACATTCTTGAAAATTACCCAAAGAAAATGCAGAAAAGGAATTTAGAAGGCTATTGGACTGTTTCAAGAGGAAAGCTACTGTTTTGAAGAAGAATAGCCATTGTACAAACTCTTTGACATTAATAGCCATTGTTGTCTGTTCTTTCGCATCCATCACAGTCCATTTAAATATTTATTTAAATCTCTTGCCAAGAAAAAGGAAGAAGAATTTTTCAAATAATACAAAAATATAAATTGAGAATAAGTAAAGAGGAAAAAACGGAAACAAAGATAGAAGAGTTAAAAACAGGAATAGAAATTACAAATCGACACAGATCCATGTTCCTTTGATCCCAAATCTTCAAATTCTTTGTTCATTGCAAAGTGTGATATTTGGTTTGGCTTCCAACAGTTTCAATTGGGGGGGGGGGGGGGTGTTTCTTTTAATTCTAGCAGTTATTTGGCTTTCAGGAGCAGTTTTGGAGTGCACTAAAAGATGAACTGTTTTTGGAGCGATTTTCTGCCTATTTTTTAGTTTCAAATATTTTTAAATTTTAAATTCCAACTTTATTGGATATTTGTCCAAAAAATGACACTTGTTGAAATGTGATTATGCCACTTGGCATTACTATATTCTTTTGCTTCTCCTTTTATATAAAGAAATATTATGATGACAAGTGGCGCAATATTAAATTGACACGTGTAAAGATTTTGGACAATTCTCCAATTTTGTTGGAGTTTCAAATATATTTAAAAAAAAATGTAAAGGACAGTTTTTTTTTTCAGAATTCAAAATTTCAGACAGTTTTATTTTTTAGAATTCAAAATTTCAGAATATTTTACTTTTTTAAAAAATAACTTGATTTTACATGGCACAATTAAAGGGCACGTTTTTTCCTCTTTAAAAAAGAAAAACTGATTTTAAAGTATCCACTAAAAATTAAAGCACCCTTTGAAAGGCTCCTTCTGCCTTCGTTATCCATTTACTTCCCTAAGAAAGCCAAAAAAAACTTTCCCTTCTTCCCATTCATCTTCTTAACTACGCCTCTTTTATGTCTTCTTTGTCACACACAATTTTATATACAATCAACAGTCAGTACCTTAGAATTCAGATACGACACATAGCATCAGTGAAAGACGGGTCGAATAAGTAGAGCAGAGAAAGAGTTAGAAAAGGCTGTTCGTTATATTAATTGTAATGGAGTCCCTTTTTTTAAGCACACAATTCATGACATGATTTACAGGGGAAAAAAATGAGGAATTGGAGGCATGATGATGCACGTGGAAGATACCGACAAGAAGATGAAGGGAGAGGATATTTCTGTTGACGAAGCTGGTGAAGATAAAATAGAGGCTTTTGCTGATCAAGAGAATGGTGAAGAATTTGTGGAAGATGGTGTACCCGAGCACTGTGAAGAAGCTGAGACACTGGATGATGAGCGTGCTCAACTGGCTGACCATGCAAAAGGAACGAATGAAGAGGAAAGAGCTGGAAGTATTTGTTGGTGGGTTAGACCGTGATGCTATGGAGAAGGATCTAAAAAGGGTGTTCCAGCAAGTTGGAGAGGTAATTGATGTTCGAATGCACAGAGGGGTGTCAACGAACAAGAATAAGGGATATGCATCCGTGAAGTTTGCAACTAAGGAGCACGCAAGCCGTGCTTAATCTTATCTAGTTACTGTAGTTTATCTTTTATTTTAGCTAATTGATATTTTATCTAGTTACTTTAGTTTATGTTACTTTTCATAAAATTAAAAAATACAAAATTGATATTTTATATTTACTTACTTTAATTTTAAAGTTATAGGTTTTAGTATATATTGAATAGTATTCAAATTTTATTAGTATAGTAACTTTATGCCCCTCTTGATATTTCCCGTTATCCTAGATATATTAATATTTTATGAAGTTTTTATTTTATTCATTGTATTATCCAACTTTGGAGGAAAAGAAGAAAAAATGAATGGAAAAAAAAAAAGAAAGAAGCAAAGAACGGGAAAAGCAAAAGGAGAAAATCAAAGAAGAAAGAAAAGGTGGAAAGAGAATCGGATAATTGTAGTTGTAAATCTCCTACGTGCCCCCCCTATATTTTATCCTTTCCTTAATTCTCTTATTCTTCTAAATTGATTTTCCTCCCTCAAAATCACGTGCCCTCCTTTCATCATAACAGAATTTGATTCCTTTTGATCACAATTTTAATTTGATTCCTTCTGCTCACATATTCCTTCCTCTCCAAGTTGAAATTCCTTTTCTTATATACAGATCCCAGCCTCAGAAGCCACCGTCCTTCACCTCTATTCCGCCGGTCAACCACCAATTCGTCTCCTTCACCACCGAAAACACCATAACCATATTTTGTTCCTCTTCGTCTCTCCAAAAACAGAGCAACAAGGCTCGATAAGTTACGCCGCACAACTCCAAAAGATCTGAACGCAAAGTTTTGGTCTACTCTTTGTGCTTCGATACTCTCTTGTTTGAGTAGGATTCGAGTTCGTCGGCAAGGTTTGAGTTTCTCCTGTGGGGTTCGGTCAATCTGCCACCTGTTCGAGGTCTCCATTCAATTTTCCGGTCCAGGCCCCGTTCTTCAATTTTGGTGGAGATCTAGTTGGCGATTCTGTCCCATTGCGTTGCGAAACTATCAAACAATTAAATTTCAGGTTCATTTGTGGTCTATTTCGCCCTTATTCTGTTGTTTTGCTTAATATCGTGCTTTCCTTTGTTTCACTGATTGTTGCTTCTCTATCTTGTTGATCGTTTGAGTTGATATTTTACAGCTTGTTTGGATGGTTGTTCCGCTGTATCTTATTGTATTGTTATTCAAAACAACGTTTGTTTTTGATTGTTTCATTAAAATTAGTTGTATTGTATTGTTAAATCCATTGTTCCGAAACAACGAAAAGTCCCTTTTTTTGAAACAATCGATTTGGCGTGGTGGGATTGTTTCCTATTTTTCTTTTATGCTCTAACTTATTAATCCACAATTATATTTTATCCTTTAGCTTTTTTTGCTATTTTAACTCCATATCTCTAACCTATAACCTACTTTATTTTTTTCCAGAACTTTTGCCGCCAACGTTAAAGGTGTTTTGCCGCCTTCTGTTTTATTTTTTCTCCTAATTTGCTTTTAACTCAATTCTAATTAGTTGTGCTCCTTTGTTTTGCCTTCTTCTATTTCAGTCCTTTGTTTTGTTTTCTTAAAGTGTTTTGCCTTCTTCTGTTTTGTTTTTTAAAATTATTTTTATGCATATATTTTGATAAATTTAATATTTAAACAATTGAGGGTATTTTAGTATACTTATTAGTTACAGTATAGTACGATACAGTCAAACTAAACAACAAAAAATTATTTAACAATAACAAACAACACAATCTATCCAAACATTGTATTCATAAAATGATACGATACAATACGATACAACACAATACAATACATTATAAAACGATGGGAAACAATGATCCAAACAGAGTGTTATTGTTCTGTTTGGGGTATCTCTATCCAAAAATGTACTCCATTTCGTTCTATTAATCATCATTTTTGTTGTCGTTTTGTTTAATCTGTTCGGATGTGTTTTGATGCCTAAAAATGAGTTTCTAATTCTTTGTTTCATTGTTTCATTTAGAGATAAAATGTTTAAGGGCTCATAGTTACTACTTTGATGGCAAAAAGTAATAATTAAATTAATATAATTAAGTAGATTGAATGGAATTCTAGCTGTTTCGGTTGTGGGAGTTAGCTTTTAAAACGTGGAGGAAATTGGGCTTAGATAATTTTGTTGTTCTTTTAATTCTTACTCTCGTGAATTTGATCGACAGTAGCATGCTTAGGCCAATCACACTCCGGTAGGCAAACTTTAGGCTTTTTCTTTTCTTTTATTTGATATGAATTGTCGTTCCCTTTAGTTTATATACCGTAGACTTTGTAAATATTTTTATCCGAATATGCCCGAAGCACATGTAATTGAAGACGGACGTTCCTTCGAGGAAGCATTAGTATATGTTAGTTTAGGACTTTTATTTCCTTTCTTTTTCTTCTTAGGTAGGGGACAAGCTAAAACCTCTTTGTATTTATTTTCTTTGTGTGTTTTACCTCAATTAGAATATTCTTAAAAGTTAATTTGACCAAGTATAAAACGTACTAGTTACGGGACTCGGTGAATACCTAACACCTTCTACCCGAGTTTAATGGACCTCCTTGCTTAGAATTTCAGGTGCAAACTATGCTTCAGAGTCAAAATATTTTTAAGGGAAAATTGTTTTTAAAATGGTGACTTGGCACACCAGATTATATGTCAAGTGGCGACTCTCAAAATCGTTTAAAACACAATTTTTGTCGCTTTCAAATTAAAAACCCTTTTTAGCTTTAAATCACTTTATATCTCTTCTAAAAGGCGTTAAGGTAAAAAAATTTAAAAAAATGGTGTGACACTCTCTTTGTTAATTAAATAGTCCTATTAGAGATCTTGATAATAACATTATAAGCTAAGCATGCATTGACTTTAAAACTTAAATATAGAAGCATCCTCCATTCAAATATTGCAAAAATCTTTTTCTTTATGTGATCATTACACCTATTTATACAATAAGACCTTTTTATAATCATACTTCATAACAACACTTCACTGTAACATTCAAGTTTTCTTTGGAATTAATTTTTCAATGAGTATGTTATGGAGAGATTTGACGGTACCTGGATTTTATATATATAGGAAATGTAAAATATTAAAACTAATTATTATACGATAAGTAAGAAGCATGCATTAAAAAATATTATGCAAGAGAGCGAACAAGAGTTTTATGCTCTTTAAACAATATAACAATAATACAATAATTTAACTTGAATATATCCACAAAAAATAATTTAGAAAAGATGAAAACACAAGTCGCAACTAACGTCAAAGAGAATTATACTTGTCTATTTTCACATGCTGAGCAAGTATACAAATTAAAAAAACAATGATACGAGAAAAAGTAATTTTCAAAAATAGTTATATTTGACCTGAAAACTCTTTAATATTGTACACTTTTATAAAGTGACACTAAGATTTTCAAAAGACCATATATAAATCGTAGAATATATGAAAAAATCGTACACTATTGTATTACCAGAGGAAGCTAAAAGGAGTAAAATTAAAAAGTGAAAAGGCTTACGATGTCTAAATAAAACATGTGAACTAAATGCATATCTTTATGTATTATGATATGTAAATATATTTTTTTCTACAATAATTAAAGATAAAAAACTTCCAAGTAACTGGAGACTCCCATTTTGGCCGACAATATACATAGAACAAACTACATTAATTATTATTTGTTTTCCCTTTCTCGTATTTTTCTTTTCTACTTAGTTGGTTTTTATTCTTTCCGCTTGGTCCTCTCAACGAGTACTCCCCATATTAAACTTATATTTTGTATTTAGTTTCCTTGTAATTTTCCTTTCCTTATCTTGTACTACTGACTATTTTTAACTTTTTTTTTTTTCCTTTTCCACTTTGTTTGTTTCATTTCTTTTTTTTCCATTCCTCCAAATATAAGTTATACTTCACTTCCTGCCTTTTGTTTTAAAAAATTAATCTCCTCCTAATTTTATGCAAAACTTCCATAAATAGTTTTTTTTCTAGAACAGTACTCTCATTATTTTTTGTTATAAATTCGAAGTGCTTCAATAGAAAAAGTGAGAGAGGACATGGAGAAAAACTACACAACAAGGTCCATATCGCAAAAGTATTCAAATTGGCTATAGCTTCAAGCCTAAACTTTAACAGAACTTCTGATCGCCGCCTCCTTTCTTCTTCTTCTTCTTCATCCCATGATAAAAAAATTTAAGCCCTAAGCGAAACCCTGCTGACATGTTTTGTTATGCCATGTAACAAATGCTTGGTGACTAAGACTGAAGGAATTATTGATGTAATTTGTTATGATGCTAATCAAATACTATTCTACAAGATAGTAGTAGTAATATTGATGATGCCACAAAATTACAAAATGGTGTTGGATTGTTAAAGCTTTGTTCCCTAACCTCATTCAATCTTTGCGTTAACTTCTATTCATACGCATTGCACAATGTTTGAATTTGGTCACATGGAAAGTAAGATGGTGAATACATATGATCTGTCTGTTTATATAATGGCTATGGCGTTCAAAATTTAATGGTAAAGAATTCTTTCAAATTCCATAATTAAGTGATGCATACATGAAGTTGTAACTGATAAGAATATAAAAAAAATATATATATAATTGATACTTTATGTTATAAAGGATTTAAAGGAAGAGAGGAAATTGAATAGAGAATGGAAAGAATAGAAAGGAAGTATGAAAACATCATAAAAACTTGTAGTTAATGAATCCTCCATAAAATCAATAACGGCCGGAACGTACAACAACACCCATTACTGGAATTATTTTCTTTATTAATGTTGTAAATTTTTTACCAGGGCATTAAGTACAAACTATCATTTAATGGAATGTAATTTTAATTTTTAGTAGAGGGTAATTAGGTCATTCAGTTTTTAGAGAATATTTTAGTAAAATAACTTTATCTAAAAAAATTCATGCTTATAATATAGTATGATGATATGATATGATAATTAAGGGGTGTGTCAAAGGTTAAAAAATTACTAATAGGAGGGAGTATAATGTAGGGGCACGCTTAAATGTGATGACATTATGAATAAGAGAGTTAAATATTAAAAGGTAATCTCATTACGAAACTGTTATTAATGAGAAATAGTAGGAGATTGCCGGAAAATACCTGCTGCTTCTTTTTTGTTTGTAAAATTTATGGTGGTTTGAATATTGGTTGATTAAAACTTTGAGCAAAAAACAGAAATAGAAAAATTTAAGAAATTTTTTCACAAACTTAGCAGTAATAGATAATTTACATATAAGGCAACTTAATAATTATATTCTTAGCAGAAAATTTTTAAATCATGTCCCTAAAATCACGCATCCACAATGTTCATTTCCTTAAAAGTAAAACCAACAAATGATTTATCTTTTATCTCTCTTCTAACAAAGGAATTGTGTTAATTATGATTTTGTAGATATTTTCTCTCTCTCTTTCAATAATGATAACATTTTATTTGGTGGTATAATCATATTTTATTGGTAAATGTGAATGCTTGTATAATAGTGTATGCTTGAATGAATAAGTGATATATATATATATATATATATATATATATATATATATATATATATATATATTTTCAATATGATAAATATACACGACGTATTTTCGGGATATTAAATTTTATAATATAATACTATACATTTATTGTATAAATATTATATATTTAGGACACATTATAGTTGTGTAAGATATTACGTTAAAATATTACTAATATTTATAAAATATAGAAATGGTTCATGAATGGTTATAACTAATTCCAGCATATAAGGAAGATATGCAAATAAATCAGGTAAATGCGATAACCAAATATCAATTCATTGTAGCGCAACACGATCCAAATAGAAATCACATCACGACTCTCAGGCTCACATCAGAATCTCAGTAACCAAACCAAACCAATAACCAGTTATCCCAGAGCTCACGTCGATCAGAAACCCGTCAGTTTCTCATAATTCGCGTGTACACCATCAAGAATACGCATGAGAGGGTGATCCTATGGGGATGGATCCATATTCACATGCAGCACGGACAACTCACGTGCTATCAGCCTGGCGTGGTCATAGGCTAAATATCATAATCTGCCCGGCGTGGTCACAGATTCAATATCAGGATCCGCCCGGCGTGGTCAGAGGCTATATCACAATCCGCCCAGCGTGGTCACAGGCTATATCACAATTCGCCCGATGCACACAATCCGCCGGACGTGGTCACATGCACAATATCACAATCTTCCCGGCGTAGTCACATACACATTATCACAGATTCTCTAGGCGTGGTCACATGCTACCAGTCCAATCCATATTACACATAAGGCAGATATGCAAGAATACATGTACATGATCAAAGAACATCAAATTTCAAACTCCTGGACTGGTAAAAGTGACATGCTAAGGTGTATGCATGTGCAAATATGATATCATAGTTCAAATCAGGTAAATACATCACAAAATAGCAACTATCAGGTTTAGTCAATAGATTAATCTCTACGTAACCTTAAACTTGGCTCAAATAGCTCATAACATCAGTACAAATAAGAGAAACATCACAACAAGAAGCTTTTCAATCAATTCAAGATATATCATAACCTAAGATATAATAGTACATTTAAACCCATAACTTTAATGTTTATAACTAATATAATAAAAATCACCACTTCTCTGGGGATTATTTCAAATAAAAATTGGTTCGAAAAATTAGAAAACCTAAAAAAGAAAAAGAAAAAGAAAAAGAAAAAGAAAGGGATCGTTTATGTGGCGATATAATATACGGAAAAGGGACAAATATATCCTTGTACTATGAGAAAATATTTATATATATCCCTTGTTATACTTTCGGTCCAAATATACCCCTGCCGTAATACTATTGGTTCAAATATATCCCTCTTCCGTTAAGTTTGTCCAAGGTGGACATCTAATGCTACATGGCACTAACATTTGATGAGGTGGATTCACATGGCATGCCACCTCAGCGCCCCTAAACCATTTTATCCCTCCCCTATATTTGTTTTTCCACTACTAAAATTTTCTTCGAGGGGAAGGAAAGTTTAGTGATGAAAAAAAAACGTAGAAGGGAGGGGTAAAATGGGTTTAGGGCGTTGAGGTGGCATGCCATGTGGCATCCACCTCATCAAATGTTAGTGTCACGTAGGATTGGATATCCACCTTAGACAAACTTAATGGAAGAGAGGTATATTTGAATCAATAGTATTATGGCAGAGATATATTTGGACCGAAAGTATAACGAGAAATATATTTAAATATTTTCTCATAGTACAGGGATATATTTGACCTTCTCCCTATAATATATATGATGATATAAGTGGCATCTCAAAGCGGAAAATAGCTGTCTCAAAGGCTGTCTTTATTTACTACACAAAAAAAATTATAATCCGAAGTCTTTTTCTGTAGCTGGTTCGAGCTTTTATTTCCATTTTCTCATTTTCTGCTATATCTTTTTCCTGTGTTCTGGCTTTCTTCCTTTTAACTCTCTCTGTTCATATCCATTCTTCTTTCCCTCCTTTATATTAAAATCATCACTTCTGTGTCATAAAGGTGAGACCTTTATATTAACATTTTGGGATTTTACTTCTATTTTAACTAACAGCAAACAGCTCCTTGGTTGAAGAGCAGGTGGAGAGGGATATACACACACAGAAAAAACGAAGAGATTTTGGGTAAAAGAAGAAGCTAAGGAATTTTAAGAAGGGAGATTTGGGTTTTGAAGAATGAGTGCGTCTAGGTTAATAAAGTGTGTCACCGTTGGCGACGGAGCTGTGGGTAAAACTTGTCTTCTCATTTCCTACGCCAGCGACACTTTTCCCACTGTAAGTACTTGTATACTTCTCTATCTCTCTTTTATGCATTTCGTCAAACATTGTCAGGCATTTTCTTTTGATCCTATCGTTTGTGATACTTGGCTCTAATTTTCTTTTCAGTTGGATTTCTTTTTGTTGAATAAGACCAAATGAGGCTCTTTCTATTTATCGCCCAAAAGAACACATTAAGCTAGTTATTCTCATTAAAACGACCTTTTTTCTTGAATCATGACTTGCTTAATCAATTCGGCACCTGGTCTAAGAGTGGGTTGTTTTACGTTTACTTCCAATTACCGCATAACATGGATCTTTTGGCTATTTTTAAGGGAAAGAAAACTGATTTTTTATGGGGTTTTTTTTTTGCGGTGTGTGTGTGTGTGTTTGAAAACCATGAGACGTGTCTAGGGAAAGGGGGCCGTAACTACATCTTGAATATTGTCTTGGTGAATTCAGGCTTAACGAGCTTCTTGTCAAGTTGGTTGATAAACCAACAAAAGGTTGTCTTCTGTTTTTATTGTGCATCAGTGATAACTTGCATAAAAGATACCCCTTTTCCCTTAAATGCAAAACGATAAATACTCTTATAAACTAAAGGTATCAGATGGATGGAGTATGAATAGAAAAAAGTAAGTATTAGAACTCTCATGGAAGATGGAATAAACATCACAAACACCAAACTAAGATACTCGTTATAATTTAATAGCTCAGTTTCTAACTTGATACTGGTTTTTTAATCGAAGATGTCACTTGTTAGAGTGAAAGTGCTTTAAAAACTTTAATAAAAAAGTTGATTATAAGTTCTAGTTATATTTATGCGAGTGGTGCGTGCATTGCTCATGTTTGGTAATTGTCTGCTGCATTGCAAACAGGATTGCGTCCCAACTGTATTCGACAATTTTAGTGCAAATGTGGTTGTCGATGGGATCACTGTCAATCTGGGGCTGTGGGATACTGCAGGTAAAATATTTCCCCACATGACATTTTCAGCCTTTTCTTTTGTCCCTTGCTACGTGGCGCACATGTCTACTGCCTCTACTTTTTGATTGAACAGGCCAGGAGGATTACAATAGATTAAGACCGTTGAGCTATCCTGAGGCAGATGTATTTATACTGGCGTTTTCTCTCATTAGCAAAGCGAGCTATGAAAATGTCTCCAAAAAGGTGAGTTCCTCTCCTGCATCCTGCCTCTAACTTTCAATTTTTTTTTTCTGTACTTGGCCTGGAGATGATCTTGTGGGAACATTAATGAAACCTGTCGGTCCCATTAAGTTGAAGCAAGTCCATGGATAACATTGGCTTGTTTGTCTTTTACATTAGTTATTCATACCATATGGATAGTGAAATACCTACCAACCTAGTAATTCCAGTGTTGAATATTTAGGATTTCTTAGTGAAGAATGAGTAATAGTTGCCTATCAGAAAAGTAAATAAGTAAAATGTATGGTTGGTGATATTCAACAATTACTAATACATTATTTCATCTTCCTGCTATTGAATTTCAGTGGATTCCTGAGTTGAGGCATTATGCTCCTGGAGTTCCAATTATTCTTGTTGGAACAATGCTAGGTTAGTATCCTATTAATCATGTTTGATTGTTAATTCAACAACTGATTAATTTCTTCTTATCTAATATCACTAGTTGGTCAGAATGATGGTGTCTTTTTATCTGTCGTTACATTATTTTTGGTCTACTTATCTTCATTTCCTGAGCTATGATTAATCCTCTCTTTGGAAATTTTGCCTTTTATATTTGGCCGAGCCATGAAATTTCAGACTATCCTTGAAGAGAGTTTATTTTTGTGCTGGGTCATGAATCACTATGTCAAAAGTTTTGCAGAGCTGTTTTTTGGGGAAAAAAAAAGAGCTCTGTAGGAAGTTCCAGGTCACATAAGTTCCTTATTTGGCAAGTCAAAAGCAATTGTGATCTTTTTCAAAAAAAAAAAAAAAAGCAATTGTGATATTGCTGCTATTCCCTAGAATTGTGGTTGGGGTCATAAAAGATGGAATGAACGACGCCTTTCATCGTCGGTTGTATATATTTGTCTTTATGGCATGAGTAGTTAGCATGTGCATGCTCTCACTGCACCTTGTTTTCTTCTTCTCGAGAGGTTGAGCCTATTGAGCGTCGATACTGCAGCTACTTTTGGTAACGTACCGGTCTGAAAGCATGATAATGTGATTTTTATCGACCATTTAGCTCTAGTTGTTCTTATGAATGAAAATGTTTCAGGAGTTATAGGCAGTTTATTCCACCACCAACATAGCCAATATATTCCCACAAGTGGGGTTTTGGTAGGGTAGTGTGTACGCAGACCTTACCCCTACCTTGTGCAGGTAGAGAGGTTGCTTCCGATAGTCCCTCGATGCAGGTAAGCACAGTATCAGCAGTAAATATCTGCTGAACCATGATAGTAAATAATTTCATTCAGTAGAGTGCTGAATGAACATGAACATGTAGGACGCAAATACATTGTGATTCATGGAAACTTCTACAACTTTTGGATCCCAGATAATCACTTTTTCAGTAACTTAGGTTGTTATGTTGTCAAATTGCTGGAGAAGTGACCTGTTGCATACTGAGATTTGAGATAGACAAGAAAGAAATATTTGTTCAAAGTTTAGTTACTCATTTAAAGAAATGCCCAATTGTTTTATAGTTTTGAAGTGCTTACTATCCTAACTTTTGCATAGAGTTATTATAAGGGGAGTCATAGATCTCCTAGCTAATCACATTATTTTATCTCTGTGTTGGAATTGTAATATATCTTCCATGAAAATATTAGGGCCAGACTTTTCTAAGTCCTAGCCTGGACTTTGAAATGGAAGTCCTGAATGAACTTACAGTGTTGTTTACTGTATATGTTGAAATTCAAATGTACTGCTGTTGAATTTAAAAGTTCACAAACTATTCTAAGTGTAAATCGTGAAGTGTATATTTTCTGGACATTACATCCAAGTACATTAAGAACTTCTTTATCTACTATCTACCTTTCCCGTATGCTGTTTAGACAATACTAAGTTCAGCTTAGTTGACTCCAGTTCCTACTTTCTAATTGCCTCCTCTATGTTTTTTCTCTTCTAATTCCATGTTCCTTAGTCTAATACTGTTGATGTGCTTCCATTTAGATCTCCAAGAGGATAAGCAATTCTTCCTGGACCATCCAGGTGCTGTTCCACTTACCACGGCTCAGGTACACTACTTTACATGTCATCTGTTTTTAGACCACAGTGTGGCCATTTCGTTCTGGATTAAATTTTCAAGGGGGGCTTAGCTCCTCTAGCAGAACCTTACGACATGCTTCTTTTTAAGGGTGAAGAGCTGAGAAAGTCGATTGGTGCTTCCGCTTACATTGAATGTAGTGCAAAAACACAACAGGTGCTTTTCTAATTCAAAGGTGACTACGTGGTTAAATTATCAAGCTATCTAATTATGTATTTCTATTGCCAAAATTGCAGAATGTGAAGGCTGTTTTTGATGCCGCCATTAAGGTGGTTCTACAACCACCCAGACAAAAGAAGGAAAAGGAGAGAAAGGGTCAAAAAGCCTGCCCTATCTTGTGATTGCTGAAATAATAGACAAGCGATGGAGATGTAGATTGTTATCAATGTCTTCCAAATTCAAAGAATGCAGTGTAAGGTTCAACGTTGGTAGTCCTGACTGACTATGATAGGAAAGCATGAATCTGCATTGTCCGTAACATTGTAGGCCAAGATGTATATTTGTGATCCGCATATGGTTGGGGTTACAGATGTGCAAAATTCTCTGTTTCGCGTTGATTCTGTGTAATATATTATGTAACACTTGTGTGATGATTCCCTTGAATTTGCATCTACTATGTGTTGTTAAAATATAACCGGACATACTGATTTAGATTGTCCAAGAAGTTGAATTTGCTATGTCATAAAGATAGTGGCGTGAATACTCGTTGCACATAGATTTTGCCCTATGGTTTTGTGAATTGTGCTTTGTGCTCTCTGAAGTAGAATGTGTGTATTGTTGCAGTTCGAAACTTTACTTCTATTTTAACTGACAGCATTCTTCTAACTTCTTGGTTGAAGAGTAGGTGGAGAGGGATATACACATAGAGATATACAGAACAAAAACTAAGAGATCTTGGGAAGTGAAAGGAAAAGCTAAGAAATTGTAAGAAGGGAGATTTGGGTTTTGAAGAATGAGTGCGTCTAGGTTCATAAAAGTGTGTCACCGTTGGGAACGGAGCTATGGGAAAAACTTGTTTTCTCATTTCCTATACCAGCAACACTTTTCCCATTGTGAGTACTTGTTTACCTTTCTGTCTGTCTTTTATGCATTTTGTCAAACATTTGTCGGGCATTTTCTTACAAGCCTAACGGTTGGTGACGGAGCTGTGGGTAATATTTTTTTTTTTTGGAATTAGACCAAATGAGGCTCTCTCTGTTTCTTGAATCATGACTTGCTTACTCAATTTGGCACCCGGTCTAAGAGTGGGTTGTTTTACTTTTACTTTCAATTACCACAAAAAATGGATCTTTTGGCTATTTTAAGGGAAAAAGAACTAATTTTGTACATTGCAGATGTTAGTTTAGAGCTATGTACATAATATAGTCTTGTCCCACATTGGAATGGGAGTAATATGTCCTTGTAGTGTATAGCTATAAAGAAGGACCTCTTGTATTGTATTCATCATCCAATATCAATAACATATTTTCTCTCGTGCTTTCGCACATGATATCAGAGCTACTGTGATAGATTTATCGCTGTGCATAAATTCCAGCGACTCCGGGAAGAGAAATCAGTCACCGGAAGTCTTTTTCCGGCGACCTTTTGAAGGTTGTTTTGGTCTGCTTTATCTCTGTCAGTGTTGCGCAAAATCCAACAGTACTAACGAGGGATTGTCACAAACTTGGACACACTCGTGAAATGTGCAATTCCTTACATGGTCGTCCACCCAAAAATGCTTACGTTGCTTAGATCGAGACTACGGGCAACTAGGGATTTTCTTTATCTAAAGAAGAATATAATGAGCTCCTTCAGTATCGAGCAAGTAAGCAGACATCTCCACAAATAGCCTCGGTTGTCCAGACTGATACTTCTGTTGCTGGTAATTCTTTTGCTTGTGTTTCCCAGTCTAGTACTCTTGGACCATGGGTCATGGACTCAGGCGGTTCTGATCACATGTTTGGTAATAAATCACTTTTGTCGAAATATTGTATATTCACAGTCTTTTCTCACTGTTACTTTAGCCAATGAATGTCAAACTAAGGCAAAAGGAGTTGGACAAGCTAAACCCTTGTCTTCTATCACCTTAGATTCCGTTCTTTATGTCCCTGGTTGTCCTTTTAGTCTTGCATTTGTTTGACTCGTGCCCTCCATTGTGGTATATATTTTACTGATGATTCCTTTATTATGGAGGACCGCAGTACCGGACGGACAATTGGTACAGGACGTCAATCAAAAGGCCTTTACTACCTTAACTCACTCGGTCCTTCCACAACATGTCTAGTTACATATCCTCCCGACCTAATCCACAGACGTTTAGGACATCCGAGTTTATCCAAACTTCAGAAGATGGTCGCTAGTTTATCTAGTTTGTCTACATTAGATTGTGAGTCGTGTCAGCTTGGGAAACATACCCGAGCCTCCTTCCCGCGTAGTTGAGAGTCATGCAGAGCCTGTTTTCTCCTTAGTTCATTCTGATATATGGGGTCCTAGTAGAGTCTGTTCAACCTTGGGATTTCATTATTTCGTTAGTTTTATCGATGATTACTCAAGATGTACTTGGCTTTTTTTAATGAAAGATCATTCTGAGTTATTCTCTATATTCCTGAGTTTTTGTGCTGAAATGAAAAACCAATTTGGTGTTTCTATTCGCATTTTTTGCATTGATAATGCCTTAGAATATTTATCTTCTCAGTTTCAGCAGTTTATAACTTTTTAAGAAATTATTCATCAGACATCTTGTCCTTATAACCCTTAGCAAAATGGGATTGCAGAGAGAAAGAATAGGCACCTTATTGAGATTGCTCGCACACTTTTAATTGAATCTCGTGTTCCGTTGTGTTTTTTGGGCGATGCAGTTCTCATAACTTGTTATTTGATTAATCGGATGCCTTCATCTCCCATCAAGCATCAGATTCCGCATTCAGTATTGTTTCCCTAGTTAGCCTTATACTCTCTTCCACCTCGTGATTTGGGAGCACGTGTTTTGTTCATAACTTAGCCCTTGGGAAAGATAAGTTAGCTCCTTGTGCTCTCAAGTGTGTCTTCCTTGGTTATTCTCGTGTTCAGAAGGGATATCGTTGTTATTCACCTGATCTTCGTAGGTACCTTATGTCAGCTAACGTCACATTTTTTGAGTCTAAACCTTTACTTCTGCTGACCACCATGATATATCTGAGGTCTTACCTATACCGACCTTGAGGAGTTTACTATAGCTCCTCCTCCACCTTCGACCATAGAGGTTTCACCCATACCAACCGTTGAGGAGCTAGTGTTGTTCCTCCTAGTTCCCCAGCCACAGGAACACCATTCTTGACTTATCATCATCGTCCGCGCCTTACATGAGGCCCAACTGGTTCTCGTCCTGCACCTGACCTTGCTCCTACTGTGGACCTTGCTCGTAGTACACTAATTGCACTTCGGAAAGGTATATAGACCGCACTTAACCCTAATCCTCATTATGTCTGTTTGAGTTATCATTGTCTGTCATTTCCCCATTATGCTTTTATATCTTCTTTGTCCTCGGTTACCATCCCTAAGTCTACAGGTGAAACATTGTCTCATCCAGGATGGCGACAGGCTATGAGTAACGAGATGTCTGCTTTACATACAAGTGGTACTTGGGAGCTTGTTCCTCTTCCTTCAGGTAAATCTACTGTTGGTTGTCGTTGGGTTTATGCTGTCAAAGTTGGTCCCGATGGCCAGATTGATCGACTTCAGGCTCGTCTTGTTGCCACAGGATATACTCAGATATTTTGGCTCGTTTACAGTGATACCTTTTATCCCGTGGCTAAAGTGGCATCAGTCCGCCTTTTTCTATCCATGGTTGCGGTTCGTCATTGGCCTCTCTATCAGCTGGACATTAAGAATGCCTTTCTTCGCGGTGATCTTGAGGGTGAGGTTTATATGGAGCAACCATCTGGTTTTGTTGCTCAAGGGGAGTCTCGTGGCTTTGTATGCGCTTGCGTCGGTGACTTTATGATCTAAAGCAGTCTCCTCGAGCCTGGTTTGGTAAGTTCAACACGGTTATCCAGGAGTTTGGCATGACTCGTAGTGAAGCTGATCACTCTGTGTTTTATCGGCACTCTGCTTTAAGTTTCTGTATTTATCTGGTAGTCTATGTTGATGATATTGTTGTTACTGGCAATGATCAGGATGGTATTATCAATCTGAAGCAGCATCTCTTCCAGCATTTCCAAACTAAGGATCTAGGCAGATTGAAGTACTTTCTAGGTATTGAGGTTGCTCAATCTAGCTCAGGTATTGTTATTTCTCAAAGAAAATATGCTTTAGACATTCTTGAGGAGACAGGGATGATAGGTTGCGACCTGTTGACACTCCGATAGATCCGAATTCCAAACTTCTGCCAGGACAGGGGGAGGCGCTTGGTGATCCTGCAAGCTATAGGCGGCTGGTTGGTAAATCAAATTATCTCACAGTGATTAGACCCTATGTTGCTCGGACTCTCCGAAAATATTGATGGGTGCGTGTCGGATCCTCCAAAAATAGTGTATTTTTGGCGGATCCGACACGGGTGCAGCAGCAGTTTCGGAGAGTCCGCGCAACATAGATTAGACCCGACATTTCTTATCCTGTGAGTGTTGTAAGTCAGTTTATGGATTCTCCATGTGATAGTCATTGGGATGCAGTTGTCCGCATTATTCAGTATATAAAATCGGCTCCAAGCAAAAGGTTACTGTTTGAGGATGGAGGTCATGAGCAGATCGTTGGATACTCAAATGCTGATTGGGCACGATCACCTTTTGATAGACGTTTTACGTCTAGATATTGTGTTTTAGTAGGAGGCAATTTGGTGTCTTGGAAGAGCAAGAAACAGAATGTAGTTGCTCGGTATAGTGCAGAAGCAGAATATCGAGCAATGACTATGGCAACATGTGAGCTAGTCTCGACCAAACAATTGCTCAAGGAGTTGAAATTTGGTTAAATCAGTCGGATGGAACTTGTGTGCGATAATCAAGCTGCCCTTCATATTGCATCAAATCCGGTGTTCCATGAGAGAACTAAAAACATTGAGATTGATTGTCACTTCGTCAGAGAAAAGATACTTTCAGGAGAGGTTGCTACAAAGTTTGTGAGGTCAAATGATCAACTTGCAGATATTTTTACTAAGTCCCTCACTGGACCTCGTATTGGTTATATATGTAACAAGCTCGGTACATATGATTTGTATGCACCGGCTTGAGGGGAAGTGTTAGTTTAGAGCTATGTACATAATATAGTCTTGTCCCACATTGGAATAGGAGTAATCTGTCCTTGTAGTGTATAGCTATAAAGAAGGACCTCTTGTATTGTATTCATCATCCATTATCAATAACATATTCTGAATGAACTTAAACAATGCTGTCCTTCAAATATACTAATGTTGAATTTAAAAGTTCGCAAACTATTCTTAAGCCTAAATTGGTAAGTATGTATTTTCTGGACATTACATTCAAGTACATAGAGAACTGCTTTGTATACTGTCTGTCCTTCTCATTTGCTATTTAGATATTAGAAAATACCTTCAGTTTTTTGACCTGCTCAATTTGAACTTTTCCTTTCTTGAAGTTCAGTTTAGATTACTCCAACTCCTACTTCCTCATTGTCTCCTCTATGCTTCTTCTCTTCTAATTCCATGTTCCTTGGTCTAATACTGTTGTTGTGCTTCCATTTAGATCTCCGAGATAATAAGCAATTCTTCCTGGACCATCCAGGTGCTGTTCCACTTACCACGGCTCAGGTACACTACTTCTTTACATGTCATCTGTTTTTATGGCCTTTTCGTTCTGGATTAAATTTTCAAGGGGGATTTAGCTCCTCTAGCAGAACCTTACGACATGCTTCTTTTTAAGGGTGAAGAGCTGAGAAAGTCGATTGGTGCTTCCGCTTGCATTGAATGTAGTGCAAAAACACAACAGGTGCTTTTCTAATTCAAAGGTGGCTACGTGGTTAAATTATCAAGCTATCTAATTATGTATTTCTATTGCCAAAATTGCAGAATGTGAAGGCTGTTTTTGATGCCGCCATTAAGGTGGTTCTACAACCACCCAGACAAAAGAAGGAAAAGGAGAAAGGGTCAAAAAACCTGCCCTATCTTGTGATTGCTGAAATAATAGACAAGCGATGGAGATGTAGATTGTTATCAATGTCTTCCAAGTCAAAGAATGCAGTGTAAGGTTCAACGTTGGTAGTCCTGACTGACTATGATAGGAAAGCATGAATCTGCATTGTCCTTAACATTGTAGGCCAAGATGTATATTTGTGATCCGCATATGGTTGGGGATGCAGATGTGCAAAATTCTCTGTTTCGCGTTGATTCTGTGTAATATATTATGTTACACTTGTGTGATGATTCCCTTGAATTTGCATCTACTATGTGTTAGAATGTAACCAAACATACTGATTTAGATTCTCCAAGAAGTTGAATTTGCTATGTCATTTTTCTGAAACCTAAAGATAGTGGTGTGAATACTGCTTGCACATAGATTTTGTTCTATGGTTTTGTGCATTGTGCTTTGTGCTCTCTGAAGTAGAATGTATGTATTGTTGCAATTGGAAACTCCTAATTCAGTCTGAATTCATGCTTTCAACGACAAAAAACTCAGTGTACTCTCACGAGTGGAGTTTGAACTCATACTTTCATTCCACTGAATTGGACAAAGCTGATTATCTATATTTCTTGGGCTGATCCAGCTCAGGATGGGTTCTTGAGTTCGACTTAGAGTTGTTTCAGACCCAAAGTAGTCAGGGTTGGGGATATGAATCATCTATGTTCATTCTGCTCCATTCCTTCTTAAAAAGTGTCGTTTAAGACAAAGTAAGGATTTTCTCAAAAGCTAAACTTTTTTCACGCCTCTTAAATGTAGGGGGTTATTGAAAAATGGGGGTGGGTGGTATGCTAAATTTAAGGGATCTTGAATTTTCTTCTTTTTTATGGTTTTGTATATAACTTGTAAATATAGATATACAAGTAGTAATTAATAAGGAATCTAAATAAAGGTGGTAAATGGACATTCTCATGAATTGGGAAAGCTCGTTTTTTCCTTTTATTCATGAGGAGCTGGATGACAAGAAACTCTCACGTCCGATTCTGTAGTAGAGAATAGAGATGAAATTCAGAAACCATCGTCAAATATAACCCCGGTTCCCTCGACTAAAGCAGCTCTACTTGCAAAACCATGACCTACACTAGTAAAATTCCTAGTAACATGTCTATAGACAGAATTAAAGAAATCTATATCGTCAGAGTGATATTTCTACACTTATACTGGGACTTTACAAGATTATCGAATAGGCATGGCAAAATGAAGAAATTACTGTGCGGTTTCAAGAGGTAGCTGCTTAATTTCAGCTTGATTCTGCTGTGGGTAAGGAGGACAATAATCTTAGGGATCTAATAATGTAAAGGATTCTTTTCACAAGTATATACTATTTTAACTCAAATGACATCAGAAAAATAATCACAAGTATTAATCATCTAATGAGTGATTAAAGGTGGCTTTTCTTTTTCTTAGACGTTAGTTTTCTTGGCATAATATTTTAGCTTTCATGTTCTTGACTTTTGCAACTGAGGTATCCAAATGACAGAGAAAACTGAACCTTTGAGAAAATAAAGTAAAAGACAGATGGAAAAAAATAAATAAGATTATATTCTTCATATAAAAAGTTGTCCCACCAAGTGATAAAAATGAATGATATTCTATACAGTCACAAATGGTAACAAATATATGATAAAATATTCATATTGTTGATTCTGACACCACCATTATTAAAAAAATGAATGATAGACAATCTATGAGGTAAACGTGTCAAATCCATGTAAAGTGATTTACACACATAATTAGTTAATTAAAGCTGCAAATTAAACATTTAATACGATAATCCAAATTAAAGAGATTAGTTAAGATCTCTAATAGATGAACAGACAGATAGGCTACTCAGTCCTCACATCATAAATATTAAAATCTGTCAATAATTAATACATACATGTCCTCCCTAACAAAATCTCATGTGAAAGTGACTGCTACCTTTAAATTTGTGAGCGGCAAGCCTAATGGGCCACTGGTTGTGGGCCTCCAGCCATATTCTCTCCATCATGTTACTGTATCCAAATCTGAGATGGATCTCGAGTACAAAATTGGATTAGTTATCTCCTACAGCAAAGGTTGATGCCTTATTTATTTTAAATAAATACCCTTTTAAAAAAGAAACTTTTACCTCATATAACAAGGGTTAACACCTTATTTATTTTAAGTAAATACCATTTTAAAATATTATATTCTATAGATACCTTTTAATGTTTATAGCAAAATATCTATTTTTGGTTACCTCCTCCCCTTAAGTCACTATATATGCTATTTTTTTTTATTTTTCTCTCTCCTTTTTCAGATTTTTCTCTCACATAATTACCGTATTTGATGTAAACTTCTCACTCCACGTTCTCTCTCTCTCTCTCTCTAATTTGACACACTACAACCTCTTCCCCCATTCCAGAAAACACAAAAAAAGAGGGTAAAATTCTTCTGTTAGCATTTGAGAAAATAATTGCTACTGCATTTGATTGATTTACTCAGCTTTGAGCTTCTGATTCTGTAAGCTATGATTTCCAGAAAATAAATTGCTATTGGAGTTTCAAACGGAAGAGAAACGCCGCCTGCGACAGCAACGCCAATGGAATCCTTGGTACGATTTTCGGGAGCTGATTACTTCAGCAGCGCTTCATCTTTTGCGGAGAAGACTTTTGGGCTGCCGAGCAATCATCTGATACAGAAATTTTCTCCGGCGTAACAACGGCAACTGGAGGCAACGTGACGACGAGGCGACATTAGGTTTGTTCTTGAACAAAGACGATGGAGTTTGGGGCTGAGCAACTTGAAATTTCTGTTAATATATTTTATTGCATTTCAATATATCTCGCTGTATTCTATGTATTTTATTGTATTCATTATCTTTTTTTTATTGTATTTCAATGTATCCCGCTGTATTCTATGTATTTTATTGTATTCACAGTCTCGCTATATTCCATGAATGTACTCATATATTTTTTTAATTAATATAATTTATGTATTCAAATGTATTATATAATTTCTCTGAAGATTACTATATTTTTGGGGAGTTTTTCGGTTGAGAATCTTTTTTATAACTGGAAATACAATATTTGTGTGTTATAATTGAGTTTGTTGAGTTATATTAGGAGTCTATTGTGTTAATTGATTCACTTTCCGGTTAAAAACAGTGTAATCCCTGATTCACGCCGTGAATACAGTCAAATACAATAATCTGTCCAGCTGTAATCCCATGTTTCACGCCATGAATACATTCGAATACAAAAATTTGTCTAGCTGTAATCCCCTGATTCACGCCTAGAAATGCTACTGTATTCATGAATACAGTAGCTTAAATACATCGAATACACTCTAAAAAATCTGAAAACATAGCTATAGGAAGTAATATAGTAAATTGTAGCTACAACTAGCTAATAACCACTAAAACATAGTGGTTTCTGAAAGTTTCTCTTTAAAGAATTATATTTTATAGCTACCTTTTGATTTTTATAGCCAAATATCTATTTATGGTCACCTCCTACCCTTAAGCTATAAAATAAGATTTGTATTATTTTTCTCTCTCCACTCAAATTTCTCCTATCTCCTCAAATTTGTCGTATATCCTACCCAATGTCTATTCTCCCTCTCTCTCTCTCTCATCTTCCACCTTCATCTTACTACCAGAACTCTCCGGCAAAGCATCAAATCCATCCAGTTGAAGGAAGGGATATGTTTAATGTATTCTCCCTCTATTCTCTATCCAGTTGAAGGAAGGGATACGTTCAAATACATCCCCTACCTCATATTTATTCTCCCTCTCTCTCTCTCTCATCATACTACCAGAACTCTTCGGCAAAATATCAGAAATAGAGTTTTCTGGCGAAAACTTTTGGGCTGCCAAGCAATCAACCGATATAGAAATTTTCTCCGGCGTAACAACGGCAACCGGAGGCAACAGTGACGTAAGACGATATTAGGGTTGTTTTTGAACAAAGACGACGGAGTTTGGGGCTGAGAAACTTAAATTTTCTTTTAATATATTTTAATATATCTCGCTGTATTTCCATATATGTCATTGTATTCATTATCTTTTTTTTCATTGTATTTCAATGTTTCTCGCTGTATCCCATGTATTTTATTGTATTCACTATCTCATTGTATTCCATAAATGTATTCATATATTTTTTTATTAATATAATTTATGTATTCAGATGTATATATGTATTCAAATTGCTCTTTTTTTGTTGTATTTATCGGCTGGGAAAAATATTCAGCATATTTTCTCTAAGATTGCTATATTTTTGGGGTGTTTTTCGGTTGAGAATCTTTTTTATAGCTGGAAATATAAAAATTATGTGTTATAATTGAGTTTGTTGAGTTATATTAGGAGTCTATTATGTTAATTGATCCACTTTCCGTTTAAAACAGCTGAATAGACCATGAATTGTGCTATTTGAGTTACTGTATTCACAAATACATATCGTGAATACAGCCAAATACAATAATCTGTCTAGCTGTAATCCCCTGTTTCAAGCCGTGAATATAGTCAAATACAAAAATCTGTCTAGCTGTAATCCCCTGTTTCCCGCCTAGAAATGCTACTGTATTCATGAATACAATAGCTTAAATACATCGAATACACTCTAAAAACCTGAAAAACATAACTATAGGAAGTAATATAGTAAATGGTAGCTACAACTAGCTAATAACCACTAAAACATAGTGGTTTCTGAAAGTTTCTCTACAAAAATTTGGGGAAGATACAAATTTGACCGCTCGACGAAAAATATTTACGATCCCTAGTATACTATATGCATATATTGGCTATTTTTTTGGGGAATGACGGTTAAAGTTAATTTGTCCAAAAGTCTCTCTATAAGAGGTCCATTTGTAATTATTATTGTTGTTGTGAGACCAGGAGGTCACGAGTTCAAGCCATGAAAATGACTTCTTGCAAAAAATACAGGGTAAGACTACATATTATAGACAGTTGTGATCCGGCTCTTCCCCGAATTCCGCACACAGCGGGAGCTTAGTGCACCAGGTTGACCTGTCATTTTGGTAATGAATTAGTCACGCTTGCAAGAACCAAGGGAACGTTGGAGATTGATGAAGATTGAATTGTGTACCTATAGGAATTAGGATAGGAGTATAAAGTTACCAATTAATGGTTCTTTGTTACTCCCTCTGGTCCACTTTAAGTGATTTTTTGGCTCTTTTCACACATATCAAGGAATCAACTTTTAGCATTAATTAACAATAAAATTGACCATATTAACCTTAATTTGCTCATTGGAAATATAACAAACAACTCCTAGGCTCTTTTACTGTAAGGGCAACTTTGGAAAGAAGAAGTTAATTTCTTCTTGATATCTGAAAAATTAAATATTGTGG